GTTTTCGCTTGTCGAAAGACTTGCCCCGATAAGAAAACGAACCTTTCGTGATATCAGGCGTGATGCTTTTATATAAGTGGATATATATCGACTAATATACAAAAATGTATAGTGCTCAAGTGGGGGAACTTTATTTTAACAAAATCTTATATATAGTTTACTACTCATATTTTTCTGTTAATGTTAAACTAAAAAAACGGAAATGTGTTTGCTATAAAAAAAATATGCTATATCTGGAGAATATTTATAATACGTTAATAATAATTTATATATCCGTTTTCTTAATTCAATTAAATCGACTAGTAAACAAAATTGAAAAACAAAACTCTCCAAATTCTCGTTCCGCTTATAATCGTATCTATGCGAAATGTTACAAAGCTAAAGTATTTTTAATCCATATATATTTGATCAATTTATATTTTATACGATAAATTAAGAAAACTAGTAATTTTGATTATTTATATACAGAGTCTTTAACGGTAAGAATAAATGAAAATTGTGGTATTATTTTATTTCAAAGTATATAGATGTTATATAAATCTTCCGCTCTTTCCTTCTAAAAGAAATACCTTTCTCGTTGCTGAAATATAGACGAAAAGAGAAAAAAAACAAGGCCGCACGTTAGAATCTAAGGAGAAAAAAGGAAACTTTATTAACGAAAAGCTACATAACGGAAGATTAAAACAAAGTACGCGCGGGAAGAGGACAATGAAAAAAAATAACGAAATCTCCGATAAGTGTCCTCCCGATGATAACGAAGCGCAATGCAACTCTGTATAAATTAAGTAAACTGGCATATATACATCGTTAGAACAGCTGGCGCGAATTGCACACAATTATACGTGACTGCAACATTTAAATGGGGATTAAACATCCTTTTTGTAATTTTAATTTCAGTGAATCTATGCGCGTTTAATCGTTCTTCGACGAATTATCGATATTTCGCGTTCCTTTTCCGTCGCTGATCTTCAACTTGAACAATCATTGTAATAGTAAATTTTCAAAATATATATTCATTAATTTCCATCATAAATTAAACTTTCTTTGCCTTATTATTATCTGAGAAAAGACTCAAAAGATTTAAATATAATTTAAAAAGATATAAATAAAATATACTATTGGCTCTAATTTTTCGCGCATGTTTATTTTTTATAGAGATGTTTTTTTCGAACTCTTTCAGCTAAGAATTTGAGCTCAATAACTTGTTATGTCGATTTTGATATTTTTCGTCCAAAGTTTAGCATGATATTTGCTTTTCCAAGTATCCCGATTAGCGTGTCAACTTAAATCACATTTACTTTTTAATTGTAAATAGACGACCTAACATTAAATATATTTGCAAGATTTGCATTTTTAAAAATTAAACGTTTTTTGACAACTTTGCGCTTTAGCTTTGCGTGGTTGCTTAAAGTTTTGCCTCGGTTACGATTGCATCAAGATACACTGACGTCTTACAATTATCATCATTCAGGCGTTATCGTCGACGTTTTTGCATTCGTATAATTGCGCTAATAAAACTTCATCCATTATGGAAGCACATAGGCTTTACAAAGTTACTAAGATTTACGATGATCAACTTGGCAACAAACTTTAGGTATTTTGTTTATGCAAAAAAAGGTTTCGTTTTAAATTAAAAAAAAAGTATATAATATTCTGTCAAAAAAGCATTTTGTCAAAATTTCCATTCTTTGCAGTCATAATCTTGTTTACATTTTCGCGTGTGTTTTTTGGATATGAGATTTTTTACATTACGATATTTCATCAAGATTCTCAATGTTTTTTGCTTGAAAGAATGTAAAAGAAAATTGAAAGCTAAATACGTGACTAAATTGAATATATTTTAATTTTTCACAGACTCTTTTGAAACATGATCAACAGAATACGAGTACAATATTCAATTAAATTTTAGAGCAAATATCATTCTACATTTTGATTAATAAAGAAATATTATCGTACTCGCCGAATGTCTATTATGGACCTGTTACATTCTGTATTCTCATTTTGTTCAATTCAATTTCTTATAAAGTTTGAGAGTATTCAGTTTCGAATAACAGGTTCCAATAAATTTTTTAATATCAGACGACATTACAACTTCTATACTAGTAAGACCTGATAAGTCTACGGGCTATATTATAGATATAACTATCATGTTGTATCTGTTATTGTCAATATTTCGAAACATTTGCATTAATCATTTGTTGATCATTTTGAACGACTCGGATGGGCGGCATAATTTATTACACATAAAACATTAAATTAAATTAATGTTTAAAATAATGAGAGAAGAGAGAAAACGAATGAATAGAGATGTTGTAATTCTTTTATCAGTCTTAAAAACACAAAAAAAAAAAAAAAAAAAAAAAAACATTTTTGAATGAAAATTATCTCGAGATAATGGAATAATATAGCAGGCTAAGATGTGACGGAATTGAAAACTCTTTGAATCCTGCAGGTTTGCGGACGGACGGATTTCTCACATGTTCGACTAATGTTTAATTGTAATTGAACTTTTTTGCGTATTCACGATAATGGCATATTCATTGCTGCCGAATACTTAGATTGCGCTTTCGCTTTGACCGTTTGCATCATTCACGAAGCGCTGGTCTTTCGTGCTCCGCCATCTGTCTTCCGCCACGTTAGTTGCCTGCTTGGAGAACATAATTACACCCAAGAAATTACAAATTTGTTTTACGAGCAAAATGGTTTTAATGAATGAAAATTAGAAGTTTAAATTCCGTATAAGTTTCTTTTATGGCGAACAGAAACTATAAAAATCTTAAATTGCGTTTAGATCAATATACGTTCTTTTATTCGTTTTCATTCTATACCTAAGTTAAGATCAGATAAAAATTTTATAATTATATTTAGCAAGAACAAAGTCACGTACATCGAGAAAAATATTTCAATTATTATTTCTCCAGACTGTCTTAAGACCTTATTTTGTTAATCCTAAATTTTATAAGAATTTTACGTGAATTGTTATCAATACACGTCTTGTGTCAGCACTGATGCAATAGTTAACAAAACCATGGAGCGACAAAAGTTTTAGGACGAAAATTGAGGAAATTTCAATTGCGTCAACAAAATCTTTCTCTTTTAAGCAAGATCTCAGTATATTAAGACTATTTTCCAGTCAACAAATATTTTCCCAGTTATTTGATGATTGAACGGTATAAGCGTGCGCGTATGGGAAGAGAAAGATAAAGATTGAGGTCTCTTCTCTCGCATTCCAGAGATGAGAAACTGCACTTTTCTGTGTTTTTCGGCATCACAAAGAGCTATATCAGTCGACGCTTGTCGTCTCGCAATGTCGTTTTATTCGAGTCGATGCCTTTGAGAAAGAAATAGTGACGAGAAAGATGAAGGGAAAGAAGAGAGAGTTGCTTCCGGACACAATCACGCATATTAGAAAAAGACGGAGACGCAAAACTATTTCTTCTCTCTCTTTATTTCTTTTTGCAATTTTTCTCGAACGACTCTTATGTCCATTTGTCGCGACAGGTGAAATTGCCGTCACCCGCTTCTCCGTTTTTTACCGTTTATAAGAGAGACTCAAATATATGTGTTTCGTGTTTTATCCTTCATGTAGACGAACATATTTCTATCGTACATAGCGATGCATCATACATGCTTTAATATGTGCACTAGATGCATTTTCTACATATGTTTGAACATGGTGCCGATAATATCCAATATCCGGCGAGATCCATATAGTTAATCTCGATAATTGAAACAACTTCTTTTTGACAAAAATATTAACATATTTCAAATTTGCTTATAAGGATATATAATGTTAAAAATTAAAAAGATGCGCGCAATAAATAATAATTTCGCTCGACATTTATGCCAAGAAAAAATCGTCTCCAAGTAGATGAAAAAAATTATGATTAATATTTGGTGAATTAAGATGTTTTTATGACACTCTGTATAGAATTAATTTCTTTCACCGATTTTATTCAGCGCGCCTTGACAAAAGCGCACGTTGACAACACGTTCAATTGTGAGAGATGACGCAGAAGGAGCGGGGAAAGGGAAGGGAAGGAAGATGAGGTTGTTTGCTCGTCGGAGATGCAAATTTGAAATTTGCCTTTGGAGACACATCGTTGAGGGTGTGTATGCGGCGCGTCGGAGAAAATATACATATATTTCAGAGTCGGAGAAACTTTTTTCTTCGAGAGCAAATTACTCGAGCTGCGCCGTCCCAAGTGATGCTTGTGTTTTTAAAAGTGTTTTACTTTCGAAACTGTTCCGGATCTTTGCCATCCACGAGACCGCGATCTGATACTTTACGTATATGTGGCATTTCACAAACTGAGTATAATACAGACTTTTCAGCAAAGTGAGATTGCATTATATATGAGATGTCCTGCAGCCACTAAATATTTTTTCCTTACATATAAAAATATTTATTATATATGTGTCATGCAATACCGCCCATTTCAATATAATGCTCTAATGAATTCTAATGCAAATTGTCTTGCTGCCAATAAATGATGCTGTAAATAAATTGTAATATATTTTTGGCGGCCGATTGTTACTGTTTTCTTTTACATTAAAATGTTTATATTAATTTATTAAGAAACGTTATTATTAGTACTCGATCAATCAATTTATATAAAAGCATATAAAATATAATATAATATACATTTTTTAGAAATGAAAGTTTGATTTTCCTAATATCGTGATAAATTTAAGTATATATATTATTCAATTTCTGAAATAGAATCTGAAAGCTTTAGTGAGTATTTTGGCTTACATTTTAATGTGTATTTTCTATATTTTAGTAAAGAATGAACAACATATTTAAAATCAAATGTAAGATTTTTGCATATTATCTTGTTTGATAATATTCATGTCACAGATAAATAATCCTATAAAAAAACGCAGTGTAAGTGTATAAAAGAAATTTGTAATAAGCAAATTACACTGCATTTTTTTATTATAACTTTCTTTATTGTTTGCTAATTAGTTGACATTAATTCTCTATAATATAATAATAAATATCTCCAGTATATAGCTCTCTCAATATTCATTCACACATGTTTAATTTAATTACCTCTTTTCACACATTTTCGACGAATATGACTTTTCCGATAAGTACGGTAGCTGATTTGTCCGATGACTGGTGCTTATTCGAGTGGATTTTTTTACAGGTTTAATAACAATTGTGATTTTTCATTAAAACTTAAGAACTGAAAAACATTTTTAAGAAGTAAAAGCAAAATTGTATCGAAAAGAATCCACATTGGTATATGTATAATAGTTGAGACGAAATATGAAGATATCTATATTACACGAGGAAATTTTACGATATTTTATTCAAATTTGATATACGTAATATTCTAATATAAATATGATTATACAGATATTGATTGTTTCTCGATTGCATGATGCAGTTTCTTGTTGTTACTTCAGATGCAGTGTTAAATCGAGCTTTCTGTTTATATTGTTTATGCATTGAGAGGCAAAAAATGGGAGTGGAAAGGGGAGTAATGCTTCTGAATAAGCTCCGATTAAGCTCACCGTATTCAGTTTTGCTGTGCATATACGGATTACACACAAAGTTGGATGTCGCTGACACTACTTGACTAGAATTCAGCAAAATTTTCTCTCTCTCTCTCTTGTGCAGTAAATACTATCGCTATCGAGGTATCTTGTTCCCGAAACTCCTGCACAATTCCTGCGATTGTATGTGAGCTAAGATTAAGATTACAACGTCACGCATCAGTAAGAAATTGAGCTGCAAATTCTGCGTCGATTGAGATAATACAATATTTGCATTCAAAGATTGAAGAGCAAATTTTCAAGGTAAATCAGATCTTGGAAAAGATCTGTCGTCTTAAATCTGATATTTTTTGAAAATTGATTTGGTACTAGAATTTTGGGACGCTTCGAAAATAAAGCCTCGATATTGAGATGCGATAAAAATATTTCCAATACGCCGAAGAAAATAATTTCTAATTTCACTATGTTTACCTGATTCGACGTCTATTCTTATACAGGATGCTCCAGACTGTCCCTATCCTTTATATCCGCGAATAACATCTCAGCTTATCCGAATTCAAAGTTTTAGAGCATAAATAAATTCTCAACACAAAATACTTCATTCCGTTTCTTTCTAATAGATCGCATCGAAATAGATTCTCTAGAAAAATTCTGCAGACGCTCGTGCGTCTCCCTGAGAAAAATCCTGTCAGTTCCCATTCTGGAATATTCTACGTAAAGATGCTTCTCTCGCCTTGTTGAGAATCGTCGTAGAGTTTATTAAGTGTTCTTGCCATAAGTGCTCTGCCGTGTGATGGTCTGCGTGGTGCATGGGCTGTCCTGGACGGAGCTCAGTCGGACGACAGAGCTGTGTGGTAAATTGGTGCTTACGCCGTTTTCGTGACGATTCGTATGATCGCCGCTGGTATACATCATCGCCAGGGCGCCGCTACGACCCTTAGCGCCCTTGCAGCGCAGCAGCTCGCGCATACCTTTGCGAAAATTGCGCGACAAGAAAGCATACAGCAGCGGATTCAGGCAGGAATTCATATACGAGATGAGAAAGGTCGAGACTGTCAGCAGAGTGCTGAAATCCGATGTGCGATCGTAGTTTGAGCCCAAATGCCGCCAGACGATACGCACTTGCTGGGGCAGGTTGCATATGGCGAACATCATCACTACGGCGATCAACATTCTGTAAAATAGCGCCGAGATTGATCGAGTTGGAAACAAACGCCGCTTTTTCATGAATGAGGGTCAGCATGTCGGAAATGCCTTTAGTATTATTAATTGCTCAACAGATAACAATTAATAAAAATACTCTATCGGTTTGTCGACATTTATAGATTATAATAAATCACTCATATCTAGAAACTTTTTCAAAGCGATTGAGAGACATAAAATCGAAAAAACGTGATTGTTATTAAAGAAACAAATGAACAATTATTTTTTATCTCATTAATCTTTGCACATTTTAATCTAGCATAGATCGATCTAGTATAGATCGATTATTCTAGCATAATATTCTAATTCAATATCGTAAATCTCAATAATTTGGAATTGCTTCGGTAATCTTGAGAAAATTATGAGTCTAATTGCAAATTATATTAAACAAAGGAATAACACTGCAATAATCGTTTTTTCTGTACTTTAGTTATACCGCCAAAATATCAATCATGCAAGCATATTTTGCGCGTTTTTCCACTTCTTCACATATAATATATATATGTAAAAAGTTTTTTAATCTTTGTAAAAATTTATTGAAACAGTATTAAATATATAGCAATTAAACGCGTTCATAAATAACCTATCTTTATTTGATTAATTATATTTCATTACGATTTCATATTCGCTAAAGCGAACACATTCTTTGAACGGAATTACCCGAAGGAATATTAATTTCTGCGAGACGGGAAAGGAAGACACCGCGTTGTAATGTACCGAAAATGTAGAATGAAAATGTCTTGCCTGATAACACCGCGTCTCGCCCTCAGAATGTTTCTACTGGACGTGTGAACGTGATGGATCTTGCCGTTTCTACTTCTAGCGACCAGACCAGGTCCTTCAAGAGCGGCACTGCTTCTCCAGAGACCGACGGCGATTCTCGTATACAAGCAGCACATGAGAAAAAGCGGCAGAAGATAGAGAAAGACGAGGTTCACCACATCTAGGACGTTCTTGTTGTGCTTCTTGATATTAGCTATGCAAATAATGTCCACGTCGCCGGTGTTCAATCGATTGCTGATAGTTTCGACGTAGAAAAATCTGGGCGAAGCGTACACAGCCGCTAGAATCCACACTACGCCTATCACTATTCTGAGACGACTCCTGGTCAGCATGGATCGACACTTAATGGGATGAACGATAGCCAAGTAACGCTCGGTGCACACCACCACAAGGATCAGTATGCTGGCGGTGTAGGAGAGCGCGTGCACAAACATGTACACCTTGCAGAGGAAGTCACCCAGTTGCCAGCTGTTCATTAGATAATTGGTGAGTGTTTGATAAACGCAGAATATGCTCACGCAAAAATCAGCCACCGCCAGATTTGCCAGGAAGAAATTCGTGATGCTGCGCAATCGTCGGGAGAACGTCACAACAAAGATCACCATCAGGTTACCTGAAACACAAAGACATCGAGATTTTATTAGTTTTAATTATTATAATAAATTTTCTTTATAAAGGCGAAGAAAAAGTCGTAATAATGTATTTTATTTTAAACAAAATAAAATTTTTTTTTGTAGATTACATACAGCATATAATATGGTAAATTATATTAAAACAGTCATATTATATATAATTTTAATCTTTTAAATTTATTTTAAAATTGTGGCCATGTTAGAATATTTTTGAAGCTGAAATCTACAAGAAATTTTTTCTTTTTTAATTGAACTGTTATCTTGGATTATCTTACAAAAAAGATATTGCTTATTCGAGCTTATTCTTTTTGCGTCAGCGCTATTTCGGCTAACAATAAACATGATTTATGATCAAAGATCCAATAAATCCTTTTTACCATTTTATCGCGATAAATCTGGATCATTTTAGACGCTTTTGTAGGCGGAGAATACTACCGACAAATAGCAAGTTGTTCTTTGGGAACGTACTAAAGCCGATATTAATTTAATTTACGAGATTAATTAAGAAGCCAATTTCTTAAATGATACTGCATTACTTTATTTTTACTTTATTCTCTCTCGATACATTTATTAGAAAATAAAATGGAAAAAGCGCAGTATCGAAATATGAAACAAAAAGATTTAAGCTTTTTCGAGTAATTGTTATATAAACTGTTATATAAACAAAGCCTAACAAATCGTATAATATTTTTGCCTTGCTAAAAGCTTGATAACTTCATTTAGAAAATGAATAAAAAAAGTTAAAATAAAAAAGATCGAAACGAGAGTTTTTAATGTAATTTTCGATTTCAAGTATTTGCCATTATCGTAATCTTACTTTGTAATCTTGTAGTTTTGTATAAATAAAAGACACAATATTAATCGATAAATTAGATTAACTCAAGATTAAGATATAACGAAATTTTCTTTAAAATAATCCATTAGTGTGGTTTTTAGCACGATATAATCATATTATATCTAATACCACTAAGCGAAAAATTTTTCCATGCATCCATGTAGTGTAGATGCTTTTATGGAATAAAATTATATAATTAATTTTATTGATAGATTTCTCGATTCTTTCACGCAATGTGAAATATGTATATCAAATATACGAGATGTGCAAAAAGGGATTATGTAGCTTTAACATTAAATATCTTGGTAATTATATCTTTATTTAAATGTTTTACTAAAATACTGCTAAAAGAACTATATATCTGGAATTGATAAAAGATTAAATTTTATTTAAATTTATTTATTTTTATTATATATTAATTTCCTATGAAAAAGAATTGTCAAGTAAGGTTATTACAAACAGACTTATATTTAAAATTTCAAAATAATTTTTATTTCTTAAAATAATCAATTATATCATTAATTGTAATACATTTTTTTTATTTGCAATGTAAATAAATGCAAAAAGATTTATATATATAATTCACTTCCAAAAAACACGGATTAATAAATCTAATGAAAGCAAAGCTCAAGAGTAAAAACGATAGACAAACTTTTCGTACAAATCTAATAAATATGGTACGTCAAATCTCGATTTGACAATAGCATATTTTTATCTTCGTTGTTCCACGAAATATAATTCATATTTTTTATTAAATATAAAAAATATTATCTACCTCTACTTTCATTATTTCATGAGTCGTAATATTATCGAGGAATAATAATGGTGAACTGCCAATTCTAGTTTGAATGAACTAAATTTCCTGCAGTTTTATAATTCATTGTAGAGATACGAAGAAACACGGTCGATCCAAGTGAAAAGTTTTGGTGATCTCTAAGTTGAAAATTATATACCGGATGTGAAACAAAAGGAACTTTACAGCTTCTCAACTTTCCTCTCCGTTGCTTTTATCTCTTTCTCTATCTATCTCTCTTTCTCTCTCACAATCGCGTTTTAATCCGTCTTATTTTTCTCTGAAGATTTCGTAAGATTCTGAAGGATAAGACGATGAGCTATCGGGTAGATCGAGATCTGACGGATGGTCGGAGGATTTAAGCTGTTGGCCGTTGGACAATTCGCAGCGGGAGATTTAATGCGAGTTCCTCGACCGTAAATCGACGCACGAAATTCGCATCCAACGTTTACGACAATGCCGATCGATTTTGCTGATAACGAGCCATTTGTATCCAAACATTTTAATTTTAAATCCATGCCAAATTTATAGTCGTTTTATTGTAGCAGCTTGGATTTACATGTCGATACTGTGAAAATATAACAATCGATGTCACTCTAAACTCGAGGACAAAAATGCAAACATTTGACAATGTGGTAGTTTTCCTTTCATACTTATATTTTTTATTAATATTACTCGAAAAAAAAAGATGAGATTTAATAAACTCTCTTAGGAAAATATTCAGTTTATATAGAAAATATTTACTTGAATGTAAAAAAATGCAAAAGTTTGATGTGTGATTTTAAGAAAGAAAATTTTCATCTTATTCATTTATAAGAATATTCAATAAAAAGATTGGCGTTTCATGAATCCGCGTTAATATCTGAAATATTAAAGACAAATTTGTTTTTATAAATTTAACTAAAGTAAAGTAAATATTCTTATGAAAAAATGTTAATACTTATTAAATAGCGTTAATAATTTTTGAATGACGAGTGTGAAATAAAGTCTCAAATTTATAGCATGATACATTCGTAAAATAGTTAACAAAATATTTTTATTTAACTGAACTTTATATTTACAAAATTTTAATCACGTACTTGGCTGCCAAGATATTTAATGTAGATATTATAAAAGATTTGAAAGTGACAATCAGCTTTGATATTCTTCTAATTTACGTTTTAAATTTAAATCGTTATATAGGATAATTGCGAATTGCTTCGTATATCGAAACGCCGTTGCAAACTGAGAATCAAGCTAAGGTCAGATTTCATGGACTCTTATTTTGCACAGCCTCAGGCTACCTACAAGCTGGGTACCATCTGGAATGTTCGACACACGGAGGTAAGGAGAAATTCCCGTTTCTACGATTAAGCATTATCGACGTATTTCAGAATCCGAAGGAGGCGATCCTTCCCGAGCGTGTCCGCCGTAAATAATGGCCGATGATAAAAAAAAAAAAAAACCGGTAAAATAGATTTTCTGAATTATCGCACTAAAGAGAGAATGGAACAAAAGAAAAAAAGAGGAGAGAACACGAGCAAGAATCGCTGCATCCCTTCCTCACCGTGGGTCTGAAAAATAAAGCACGCTTCGTAGATGGCAGAGGCGTGCTTGTGTCTCGCTTACAATTAGCGGCGTGTCCAGAATTATCAGTGCGTCGTCACGTCTCCGAAAAATCTACGGATCAATAGGTAGGTAAAATTAATTACACGAGGGGCTGAGAAATTTGTTTTTCAAATAATATGCTTCCTTTGCGAAGAAACTAGGAAAAATAGCGTATTCGGGAATGAATCTTTAAATATGTGTCCTAATGCACGCACCATCCTTTGAATATATTTAAATGTCATTATATTTCTCTCTAACTTAAAAACAGAAGGAGGAAATATATAT